AATGCAGTCTTAAAAGGTAACCGTTCAAACCAGATTCACTGTTCTATCATAAATATCTGTACAACAAATGCTTTTTAATTAGTCGAGTTTGAAATGAACGATATTAAAAGAAATTTGGTTACGGGACTTTCTCTTCAGTCTCGCATATGGTAACAGTTCTTAAATGGTGAGAAACAACGTTCCAATTTTCTGTTCCTTTGTGTGTTTTGAAAATCTTTAGTCCATCATCATTTATCATTTATCCAGGTGTCGTGGCAACACTGTATGCTTAGCCTGTGCAAATTTACACCTGGTTTCTTTAGACTGGGCTGTTCTGAGACTATCACTTCTGAGAGTATCAAAGAAAATCTTTCATGTTTTTATGGCACTTTCTGTGCTCTAGGCTTAAAAAAAAAGTGATTACTGAATTAAACAGCTTAAACAGATCTGCTAAGGCTGAAACCACTTGACCTTTCAGACTCTTTCAGATGCAAGTCCTAAAATCCGACACTCGGGGGAATTTAAGGAAGAAAATCGCCTGTGCTGCAGAACACGGGTCCTGCTGTGCCTGCATTTACAGGCTGTTGATGCTGCCTTATGTGATGCTGTTCTGTGGCCCGGTTTCAGTACTGAAACACTGGAAGGGTCCTCACTGCCTGTGAGGCCCAAATACAGTTTGAAATTTAAAAAAAGAATGCTTGGATAACACATACAGCCATATTGGATCTCCTGAAAATGAATGAAAAGAAGAAGCTGTTCTAGTTGTTGGGGAAATTTAAAGAAAAGCAAGAAAATGTCTTTGAGCATTCTACAGGCGTACAGAATGTCTTTGGTCACTCCTCTCTGAGTTTCACAGTACACTTAAATGGATCAGACAGGAGAACTATGGCCATTGCAGAGTATCAGCACTAATAAAGAGTCAGGCAGCAAATGAAACGTTTGTCGTATGTGGGCACACAAGGAAGAACCGAAAGAAGCACTGTAGAGACATTAGCTATGATCAAAACAAAACAGAGGCAGCCCCATTGCACTGTGGGAAGATTGGCAAACAGAGAGGACATCCTCACCGTGTCAGCTTCGATAATGATCTCCCAAGAGAAAAATCAGCCTCCTATCTTCCAATGAACTAGTGATTCATGAAGAGGCACTCTGATGCGACTTTGAGCTGTGAAAAAATGTCTACGGTACCCAAACATCATGGTAAAGTCACCTGGTAAGCTACAGATTGTGAAAGTGCTGCATTTTCGTTAGACAAACAAAAAGGACTGTCCACCGTCGACCTATCCTGAGTGAGTCATTTACATTCAGAGGCTGGCCAACGTGGACAAAAGTGAGATTATACACGTGGGAGTATAATAAGGGACAGGCTAATGGACCAGCAGAGCGGCGCCCTGCATGCTAAAACCCCACTACAGGATGAGCTGGCCAGTCCTCGCCATTTGAAAGTAGGGCTCTTTTGTTATATCACCTGTCAACAGGAGGCTGAACTGGTTGAGATACATGATGAGGGGCTGTTTGACTACACGGTTGTCCGTTAGCATAACGGCTATGCTAAGTGGACAGAGTAGGAGGGGAACCGCAGCAAAAATGAGACAAGCTCAAAGCCGCCGATCCCACGGGTGAAATCACCACTGCCGGGGAATGATGGAGTGAGATGGGGGGAGAGGCTACAGGTGGAAATCACTCTTGAATGTTCTAACAGAACCACAGACTATACTGTAGCTGTACCGGGGCCAGGAGATGTACTGATGAATAATGCGGACTGCATTAGAGGTTAATTCATCTTGTTTTCAGTGGAGGGGTCATCTTTGTTTACTTTGTGCTGGAACTTCTGGCCTGTATCACAAAGCCTGATTCCTTGCTTAGCCAGATAACGCTGAGGTTAAGCAGCAGTAACACAAAACGTTTTTTTCAATATCACCATGCTGGTTCTCTCCTTAATGTGATACATTATCACGGTAACTCATATTACAGGGAAAACCTCCTCCAGAGCAGGTTAGCTCTCAGGATCACTCATCTCAAAGTCGGTATATTACCTGACGTAACAAACGCACTTTCCCAAACTCTCGAAGCGGCTTGTCCATGAGAATCCCGTGACTGCAGTAAGTTTAGCTGAATATTCTCTCTTCAGTCTTCCTGCTATAATCTTTCAACAAGCAAGCCTGGCAGTTTTTAATTACAGTCCTTTTATGTCCACAGGCAGAGATGCACTCCGATCATTTTTGTGTTTGCTATGTGTAATAAATGTTATATCTACAAAACATGGGGATCTCTGCTGCGACTGGATACTGGTTCAGCATTTTGAGTTGATATCGACTCTTGCACACCCTTTAGATTCCACATTGCTTTGCACTTTACCCCAAAACTGAAAAAGGTTTTAGGTTTTTCTATATATCAATCAAGGTTGTTCTGCTGGGAGTTGCCTAGTTTTGGGGACGTCGGCTTTAGAAATGTCAGACTTCTATCAAATATAATGGGACTGAATGGCATTCTTATTGTGGTGATTAAAGCGTCAGGAAAATACATTTAAAAAATCCAACATCAGTGTCACTTACCTGAAATTATGACCTGGTTAGAGACATTGTTGTTAAATTTTTTAATGTATTTTTTTTGGCAGACAGAACAGGCTTCACGAGGACAGAATGGGCTTCACGAGGACAGAACAGGCTTCACGAGGACAGAATGGGCTTCACGAGGACAGAATGGGCTTCACGAGGACAGAAGCAGGCTTCTTGAGACGTACCGGTACAACGACAGAATGGATGGCGATGTTGTGAAGTGTTTTGGTGGGTGTGTGTAGCAACAGATTTGTGCCACTCCTGGTGAGGGGGGTGGGGGGTGAGATAGACAAAAAGAGCTAGAGGAGAGCAGGAAGCCGGAGTACCTGTAAGAGCCACCGTGGTGACAGGATCTAAGAGGGAACCTCGGTACTTCCCGTACAGGCTGATGGTGTACAGGGTGCTGGGGACCAGCTGGGTGATGCCTATGCTCCGGGCCTCAGCAGGCAGGCTGTGGTTCCGGCCTTCATTGGTGGCCCCCTCCTCCGAATCCAACACTTCCACCAGGAAGCCTTCCAAGGCCCTCTCCTCCGACCGCCAGGACACATTGAAGCTGTCCCAGGACACGTCTGAGATGGTGAGATCGCCCACCTGCGGCTTCTCCTCCTCTGGGTGACAATCAGACATGTCAGACACAATCAGAACCAAGTGAGACCAGTGTAACACAAGGGGTGGGGGGGGGGGGGGGTAAGACTTGGAGACAGAGGAGTTGCAGGGGGACTGAAGCTCACACACCTTCTGTCAAACCACTGCTATGCCTGAGGTTGGTGCTTATTTTGTACAAACAACATAAGGAAGGCATCTCACGGTTCTGTAGCTGCTTTTCAAAGATCGCCCACCTCCTGGTACCGGCAATGCGGGTGTCAGAGAACTCTTGTGAATTTCAAGAACCTGTTCATGTTGAACGAGGCGGTGTCATCTTTTGAAAAAACTATCTGACAAATGAGGAGACTGCGGCACAAAGTGACCCTTTTGAAAAAAAAAAGTAGAGGTCGAGCTGTTGAAGGAGACACATTAGGTTACTGTAATGTTTAGCTTTGTAGCTGCACTGAGGTTGCTGGAAAATTCCAAACAGTGCAAATGTCTGGCAAAGTAAAGATGGCTGAACTTCACAATGGAGAAAATCAGTTTGAATTAGCAGGAAACAAAAGGTTAAAAGAGCAGCAAAGAGCGGAAGGGAAGGGAGGAGAGCAAAGGAATGCAGAGTGGAGGGGAGGAGAGTGGAGGAGAGGAGAGGAGAGCAGAGGAGAGTGGAGTGGAGGAGAATGGAGTAAGAGCTGCTCTGTGTGTCAGCCTGCGCAGCACAGCAGACGTAAGGGTGCCGGCGTGAGAGCTGCTCTGTGTGTCAGCCTGCGCAGCACAGCAGACGTAAGGGTGCCGGCGTGAGAGCTGCTCTGTGAGTCAGCCTGCGCAGCACAGCAGACGTAAGGGTGCCGGCGTGAGAGCTGCTCTGTGAGTCAGCCTGCGCAGCACTGGTGCTCTTGCAGATGGTGCTGACTTAATCCATCCGGCCTTTCCAATCCCGGTTCTGCCCTCATTATTCTAAAGGTCAACCTGTAAACAACAAAACTATAAACACACATCTGTAAACACAATAAAATGCTAAAGGAGTTGGAGGGGAGCCGGCTGGGAGATCAGGCTTCTGCGGCATTTTCCTGGTTACTCACTGAATGCTAAATAATTAAGATCAGCATGGCTGAGAAACACTCAAGGCCTTCGTTTAATTAGTTAGTTGAAAATTCACGTTCAGTTTGATAAAACTTGGTGTTGACTCTGCAGTGTCATGGCACTGTCTAAGCTCAATGCACACACACACACACACACACACACGCACACGTACACTGGGAGTGTAAATGAGGATACACAGCAGACAGGGGAATGGATTCATCCTAAGATAGCATCAGCCTATAGCTCTCTACTGCATGCCTAGCATCTGTGATATAGGCCATATGATGTGGCAGCTTCTGCTGTCAGACACTCCGGCAATATTTCAACTGTAGCTATTATTTATTAGCTGCTAGAGATTACAGCAGGCTGATCTGAGTACGGAGCAGAGGAATCAGGCAGTGGGGGTGGCTTTGGAAGGCCTCATCAGTGTCTCACCAAAACAGACCGCAAACCCCAGTGACCCCCAGCCTACTGTCGAGTGGCCCAACCTCACCCTCAGATTCCCAACCGAACGCTCTCAGTTCACGACCCATGAATGCGGTGTCTTGCATTCTCCACCTTAATGGGTCTGAAGAAGCCGTTTGTTCGCTTTTTTTTTTTTTTACGCAGACACTGGTTACCCAGCCAGAGCAGAAGCATGCAGTGCACTTCAGAGCTAAAAGAACCAGGCAGGTGCTGGGAGCCGGGAATCACGATTGGCTGCCGTTCAGCGGTCTGGGCGCCCGGCAGTGGCTGCCGCGCGGTCAGCAGATGCTGTGAACAGCGAGCATTACCAGCTGCCAAAGTACAATGGAGCAGGAGAGCGGGATGGAAACAGAGGCGAGGACAGGCTGGGAGGGACTGATGAATCAAATGACCTTTGCTGACACCAGTCTAGCAGAGCTAACAGTTACTCGCAAACAGGGGAAGATCACAGTGCAAATAACGCGCTGTTATTTACTGCGTCCGGTGTGACAGAAGTACAGATTTTTCTTCTGATTAAATCTGCAGCTTTCTCCCAAACTGGAATTCCTTCCGCACTGAAGCTCCCAGATTTGCTTTTGAGCAAACCTATGATTCTTATCTCAGGAAACGTTTACGGGACAGATTTCGGGAATGAGGGCGAATCAGGAAGAGGTGAACCTGCAGATTCCACCCCACCAGAGTGGTGTCAGGCCAACATGGTCATTCTTTCACACTTTTAGTGCAGGATGGGGGTGGGGGGGGGAGGGAGACACAGGCATGATGAGCCCGACAGCGACTCTCCGACGTGGAGACCCTCAGTGCACGTGCTGGCTTCTTCAGTGCCACGTCAGTCCCATCGCTGCCTCAATATTCTTTCTGCTTCTGCCCCAGACATGGACACCACAGCAGGAAAGAAATATTTCATATTTATATATATATAGTGGATCCATATTTATATATGTACATATATAAACATTCATATATATATAAATCATCATAATCAGGCATCTATCATGCGTCTTTCCTGACGGGCACCAGCATGCTCCCTCCTTCCCATGAAGCCCGGCGTTCAGGGGGCGGTGGTCCTGCCGCAGAGAAGCCAAAGACCCCCAAGCTGACCCGGGAGGTGGGGGCCTCAGGAGGCGTGACTTACAGAAGCTCAGCAGCGCAGATTAGGGTTGGCAATTCAGCTACATTGGCAATTTAATTAACAGATGTTTTAATTTTTTGTTTTTGTTGTTTTTCAGAAAGCTAGGTCATAAAAATTGATTTTATGGGTTATGGTTCCACCTCAGTGGCCTGACAGTGACATCACTCTGACATGACTCTGACATCACTCTGACATCACTCTGCTGATGCTGGGGATTAAACCAGCAACCTTCTGATCACAAGCTGACCCAATGCCCACCACCTCCAGGAGTGTGGGAGAGAGTGGGTGTAACTGTAAGTAACCCCAGCAAACACAATGGGGGGGGTGGGCATGCAGACTCCACAAATCCCAGCTCTGCAGCTGTATAGCTAGCCCCCCCCCCATCGCCCACTGTGTCACCCAGCATGACGCATGATGAGGTGTAAGGAGATTGCCAACAAATCAGACTAACTGTCTGAACATTGGTTTCTTGCGGAAGCCATTGATCTGGGCCACTTCTTCCTCACTTTACTCTCCAGCCGATAAATGCACCTTATCTCCAGACTTAAATGCTTGCATATGGGGCTTTGCAATGTCTGCTTGCTGTTAGCCGACTGCCTGTGATTTATACAGAGGCCAGGGACAGCCCTTTCAGTCGCTGAATTTCCCGGAATAGCTGTTGCTGCTATTTCCATCTCATCAGCTAAGCAGTATGTAATTGCCGATCAATCAGGCCTTTTCTCATTCAAATGTATCATGTTCTGTATGTATCTGATGCATGTTGAATCAAGTTTTCTTTCATGTTTATTGATGACCACTTAATCTTTGTCAGGTTAATGAATCTATGTCAGGTTAATTAATCTGTGTCAGAGCGTCTCCGGCTGAATCTTCCATAGCTGTGAGACACACCATAGCTGTGAGTGGTACACCACTCACTTTACCTGGACACGTCTGCCCCGAGGTACACTACTCACTTTACCCAGACACTTCTGTCCCGAGGTACACTACTCACTTTACCTGGACACGTCTGCCCCGAGGTACACTACTCACTTTACCCAGACACTTCTGTCCCGAGGTACACTACTCACTTTACCTGGACACGTCTGCCCCGAGGTACACTACTCACTTTACCCAGACACTTCTGTCCCGAGGTACACTACTCACTTTAC